TATTGGACTCGAGACAGCACAAGATCAACTTCACAGCGAAGGGGCGGCTGGCTGTCAACAAATAATTTCTTAGTTCCAGAGCCAATTTTAACTTCACGGCGGAGGATATTGGACTCGGAACAATACAACTTACTTGTATTTCAACTTCACGATGAAGGATATCCAATTCCAAGGCTCAACTTCATAACGAAGGGGTCATCCACGGTTTCAACTTCACGACGAAGGGAATCATGCTCACCATTGTCTCTCTTGAGACAATTTCCAAGTTTCCCTTGAAACAAAATATTTGAATCTGTTTTCATTGAAACTAATTTCGTCTCCCTTGAGACATTTTCTTTTGGAACTAAATTTTGTCTCCCTTGAGATAGTTTCTCTTGAAACATAAACATTGAAAAAATTTCTCTTGAAATAAATTTTATCTCGATTGAGATAGTTTCCCTTGAAACGAAATTTTGTCTCCCTTGAAACATAAACATTGAAAACATTTCCCTTGAAATAAATTTTATCTCGCTTGGGGTAGTTTCCCTTGAAACAAAATTTTGTCTCCCTTGAGACAGTTTCTCTTGAAACATAAACATTGAAAACATTTCCTTTGAAATTAGTTTTGTATCTCTTGAGATAGTTTCCCTTGAAACAAAATTTTGTCTCCCTTGAAAACGTTTCCCTTGAAACACAAAATATTTAAATCAGTTCCCCTTAAAACGAGTTTTGAGACAGTTTCCCTTGAAACAAAATCTTGTCTCTCTTGAGACAGTTTCCCTTGAAACAAATTTTGTCTCTCTTGAGACAGTTTCCCTTGAAACAAAATCTTTGAATATCTTTTCCTTGAAACAAATTTTGTCTCCTATTAGACAGTTTCTTTTAGAACTAAGTTTTGTCTCTCTTGAGACAGTTTCTTTTGAAACAAATTTTGTCCCTCTTGAGACAGTTTCTCTTGAAACACAAAAAAAACCCTCGAAATTATTTCTTTTGAAACACATACACAAAAAACCTTTGAAAATATTTCTCTTGAAACACCAAACCCTCGAGTTTGATTACACTCAGCTTCGAGGGAACATCATTTACAACATAACTCAAGGCTAGAAGGGTTATATGCACCAAAAGACCTTCGAGTTCGACTATGCTCAGCTCTAAGGCACATCATTTACAGCATAACTCAAGGCAAGAAGGGTTATCTGTCAATAAAATTGTCGAGTTCGCTTCTATTCAGCTCGATGACACCTCAATCACACTATTGTCCGGCTGCAATCGAGGTTTTTCAAGCCGATAAGAAGGTATGGGTTAGCCGTGCCTTAGTAGCAAAAGCCTTTTTTCCGTCAGAATAGCTTAAGTAGAGAAAAACTATCTGTCAGCGAAGACTTTTCGAGTTCGGTTTCATTCAGCTCGAGGGCATATCAACCACATTGTGGAGTCATGAGATTATTTTCCAGTCGAATTTTTAGCCAATGTCTTTAAATCGAGAAGAAGACCAAAGTGGACTACAACGAGAAGCCACATTCTAATTAAAATATTTTCAAGATAAACTTGAATTCGCGATGGAGGAGCCATCCGCAATTCAATTCAACAAGGAGTTATTCTTCAACTTCACTGAACGAAAATTTGTGTCTTTTTATCTTTGTCTTATTTTTCGTTCCACGAAAAAGGACAAAGAGGGGCAGCTGTAGACACTCATTTTCTTAAAAGATAGAACTAGCAAGAGTTTCTCTCCTAGGAGGACTCTTCCACCATCATATTAACCACACCAACAAACGTGCAACAACCGAGCAAGGAGTCTAGTTGCATTAGGATTCTATTATTAATAGGATTCTAAAAATAGTTAGTTTATTTCACTATAAATACATGTAATCCTCCCCATTTGTAACACACGATTTACATACAAAATACAGAGGAAAACACGGAAAATACAAAGGCAAAGCTATTGTAAACGATTCGAAAAGGAAATAAAAGGTAGCATTTTTTTACTTTTGATTCGGTCTCTTACATTTACGTTTTAATTATTATTATTTTATTTATTTAACTTTATTTATACGTGCATTTCTCTTGTTACTCATTTTATTTAATTGTTTTCTTATTTTTCTTTTCTTTTTTTCATGTAATATTTTTTTATATTTTACGCATTTTCTTTTTTACTTTAGTATATATTTTTATTTTTTTATTATCAGTTTTATTAATTTATATATATATATATTTACTATTTTTTTATTTTATTTTATTTATTTATTTATTTTATATATATATTATTTTTACTTCTTTATTATTATTTTATTTATTTGTTTTATTTATATATTTTTTCCTTCTTTTTCTTTATTTTTTATATTTATTTTACTTACTATTTTATCTTTGCTTTCTTTATCTGATCATTTATTTAATTTATTTTTTCTTCATTTTAATTTAATTTAATTAATTAATTTATTTATTTCTTACATTTTTATCTAATATGATTTTTTGACCTTCTTAAGGCCACACTTTTAAAACCATCTAAGGTAAGTAATTGTGATCGTATTTTTACCTTTTAATTTTAAATTACAATTTTCTTAATTTAAGACAACCGACAAATTAATTGGTACCGAAAGGGCGGTACAAGGGTGCTAATCCTTCTTTGACCGTAACCGACTCCCGAACCCGACACATTTCTAGTATAAAGCAGATCAGGTAAGATGATGTCCGACCCACCTAAATTCGTTTTAAAGTGGTCGGTGGCGACTCCCAACCCAATTATTTCAAGTCGAAGCCCAATTCGAAACCCAACCGAAAGACGGTTACGACAATTATCCAATCACTTGACGCCAGTGATAGCATATAGATGTCTAGTTAAGGAAGATGATAGGGATGCTCCGAGCTTTTTGTTCGAGTCTGGCGAGCCTGCTTTGCAGGCTTCTAGCGTTGTAAGTTTCCACTTTGTGCGCCTGTTATATGTTTATAGACTATGTTATGTTTGTGTATTTTGGCTATTTCGTGTTAGGAAGTATATTGTTGTTGGAGCTCAGCCTAGCATTGAAATAGTGGCTAAGGAAATTCCGTAACAATTATGAATCATGACGAGGGGCGGAAGATGAGGAGATTTGGATGATCCCATGACTGTTCTACGGAGAATTGTGGAGACTGACGACGAGCTTCCAGAAGTATTTGTGGTGAGTCATGCTGAGTAATAGCTATAGCTTTGCTTGTTATTCATTGTACCCCTTTCTAGTATTGTATGGTCTTATCATCAACTTTGTAGTTACTTTGATGTTTTTTTGTCTTTCCTTTTCTATATGATCTAGTATCGTTTTTTTCAATGTTTTCAAAACCGGACCGGACATTGAACCGGTAAAGGTGCTGGTTCACTGGTTCAACCGGGTTCAACCGCGGTTGAACTGGATTTTATATAAAATAATTTTTTTTTAATTTTACATAATATTCAAGCAATATTAATATATATGTAACACTTTTTTTAAGTTTACAATATTAAAAGGTATAAAATATCACAAGTCATAACATGTATAAATGAAAACCATAAAATCAAGTGAAACAAAATGATTCAAATCAACTACACATAATATTTAAGATAAAACATATTAAATAATAAATATAATTATATAACTATAATAAAAAATAAAATTGGGGCTTAAAAATTTATAACAAATGATGTCATTTGGTTTAATTGTTTAAAAAAAAACAATCTCACATGGCTAAGAAACATAGAAGAGTATCCCAAAAGTTTAAAGAGTAAAAATATGAGAACAAAACAATCTCACATGGCTAAGAAACATAGAAGAGCATCCCAACTTACTTCTATAAATAATAGAGGTAATTTAACATTCAAAATCATGGAGCCTTTTGATGAGCACAAAGCGAACTATTCTTTCGCTTCAATTGAGCTCAAATTTTAGGCTTCAATCGAACTTCTAATTTTTTTTTTGAGTTCGAGCCTTTTCGATTTCAAGTTTTAATATTATATTTCGAGTTGATAATTTTTAGCTCGTGAGTTTTTCAGTCGAGTTGAGCTTACTTTTAAAGTTTTAGAGTTCGAGTCGAGCTCAGCAATACTCGAATTTGAATCGGCTCGTTGAACAAACGACGTCGTTTGGTTTAATTTTTTTTTTAAAGAAAAAAAGTGAACCGGCGGTTCAAACCGGTTTTGCCGGTTTTCAGCTGGTTCACCCTGGTTTTCAGCCGATTCTTCCGGTTCTTTACCGGTTCTGTGCTAATCCGGTTTTTGGAGTTAACCGGACCGGACAGGCCACCGGTTCACGGTTCAACCGGTCGAACCGGCCGGTCCGGTCCGGTTTTAATAACATTGGTTTTTTTAATCATTCAAGAATTGTGCTACTATTTGACATTTTCTGGAAATATTTATTATTCACATCAGTTTTTAATGGATGAAATAGAAGAATGGATGGCTATTGGTTTTGAAGACACCGAATTCCAGTGTAATTATAAGGTGTCTTTGTTCAGGTGGCTGGGTTGGCTATTTCTCATATGACACCGTGCGATATGTAGAGAAAAAGAAGCTTCCATTCCCTAATGCTCCCCTGGATGACCGAAACCTTCCAGATGTTCATCTAGGCCTCTATGATGATGCCATTGTATTTGGTCATGTTGAGAAGGTACTTTACATTTGCCCATAGTGTATGCACGATTTCTCTTGTAGTGTGTCTCCATTTGTTTTGTTTGCCACGGTGTATGCGTCTTTAGTGGCATCTCTTATTTTCTTTAGTGTTACTTAATTTTTTTGTTTTGAAATTGTGCAACACTTATCTTCTTTCATAACTTAGGGCTGTTTCAATGGTTTTATAGTGATGCCAAGATTCTTGTGATTTTCACATATGGCGTCACACACCTTTATTTGAGGTCTTCATTTTAAAATTAAGTTGGACTCTGTTGCTGCTTGTGAGAATGATATTGGTTTTGATTTCTCAACTTTTTGAACACAGAAAGCATTTGTGGTTCATCGTGTGCGGCTAGATCAATATTCTTCAGTTGATGAGGCCTATAATGATGGCATGAAACGATTGGAAACTTTAGAGTACATGATATAAATCCGTGAGTGATTGTTTTCTTAACGATCACATACCTTTCTGAACATCTTTTCTAACTTTAGTTCAGTTGTAAATTTTCTGTTTGAATTGTGAATTTCAGCCCAAAGCTGCCCGCAGGTTCAATAAAATTGCATACTCGCCTTTTTGGCCCAAAATTTGAGACATCAAGCATGACAAGTGATGCATACATGGAGGCTGTGTTGGAGGCTAAAGAGCATATTATGGCAGGGGATGTTTTCCAAATTGTATTAAGTCAGCGCTTTGAACTTAGAACATTTGCTGACACATTTGAAATATATAGAGCCCTGAGGGTAGTTAATCCAAGCCCATACATGACATATTTGCAGGTTTGCCCCCTTATTCGGATTGTGAATGCTCTCCTTAATGATATTCTAGCTTTTGAACACGTTTTTCCTCTTATCGGGCTAGAGGGTGTATACTTGTTGCTTCCAGTCCCGAAATTCTTACTCGTGTGAAGAAGGTAATTGTTATTGTGTCAGAACGAATATTTTGATGCAATATATGTTTCGGTGTGGTTCATTATTATCTTATGGTTTATTAGTAAGGTTTCCCAATACATTACTTATTCGTCTTTCCCCATTGTCAAAAGTGTTATCGAATGAGATTGCTGTTAAGTGACGTTAATTGCCTTTTATCTTTATAATCTTGTCGTCAGGGAAAGAGTACTAATCAACCACTTGCTGGGACCATTAGAAGAGGGAAAACACCTAAGGAAGATTTAATGTTGGAGAAAGAACTTTTAGGTGATGAAAAGCAGTGTGCAGAGCACATTATGCTAGTTGACTTGGGAAGGAATGATATCGGAAAGGTTTATTTTTTCTATTATTGACCTCTCTAAATTTTCATTCAAGTTTTTGGAAGTTCTAATGTATCATTTACTCGAACAAGCTACTTATTCATTCGCACGATCACATGGGCAAGTATAGAATATAGCTGCTGTGTTTGCAAATTAACACGTTCTTGTTGTGAATAATACATTAAGACAACCATGTTTGCTATATACCCTATTAGAGCTATGATTATAGTTTCTACTTGTATACATTGGCTGTAAGCTTGTACTTATTTAAGTTAATGCATGTTTCCAAGCCAGGATCTGTTAAGGCCGAAAAGCTGATGAATATCGAACGATATTCCCATGTTATGCACATTGGTTCAATGTTATGCGTTCCGTTTCTGAAAGAACATGTTTGATCCTGATGGGGGAGATGTAAACTTTAACCTTGCTTCTGCCATTATTTAAGCTGCTATACAATGCTTATGCTTGCTTGCATATGCTGTTGCCCATGGTGCCAATGTTCTATATGAATATGCAGGTCCAAGGAGAAATTACTTGATGGTTTAATTACATGGGACGCCTTGCGTGCCGCATTGCCCGTTGGAACCGTTAGTGGGGGCACCAAAGGTTCGTTACACTGTATCACAATCAGAGACGATAAAACAAAATGAATAAAGTATATTAATTTGTATCAGAGTGTCATGCCACATTCAACGCATACAATACCTAATAATTAGTATGTTGCGACAAAACCATATACAACCAAGAAACATATTTGTAAATTCTTTCCATGGTGATTCAACAAATTGCTGAAAAGGACAATCAACACCTTGGTAGGATCTCGTTGCAAAGTTTGTGTACATGAATCAAGAATAAAACAAAATGAATTAATAAAATGAAAAAAATTAATAATCCAAAGGAGTACAAAAAAACACACAATTAGAATAAGAACATTGGAAACGAGTTGAGGCTTGTAATTATGCAATTTCCTTAAGATAGATTATCGATCACTTTTTTGGTGCTCGAGATATTTGGTCAACTGTCTCTCAGTATAGAACAACAGGATGATTGACAAACAATAGTACAATTGTCGATATCAAGAGATATTCCTTACATTTGTCCATCTTTGAAAAAAAAATTAGAGGAGAATTTTTTTTTGAATAGTTTTTAAGTTGTTTTCCGTTGTATTTAACCTAGTATGTTTACCTTGTATTTATAGAGATTTTACATTATGAACAATTGAAAATTTTTGAACTAATAAAGCATTATGAGAATCAAGCAATCAAGTAATTTTTAAAATTACTGTTTTGATTAAAGTAATATTTTAATATTTATCATTTTAATTCCAAAATAAATTATGAAAAGATATGTTCTATTTGAGGAAAGATGTTTTACATTTGGGTTAAAAATATCTGTAAGCTAACAAAGAGCCCGACCTGTTTAGACATTCACATTATCTACATCGTGCACGTCTGCACATGTACGAACCAACAATTAGTTCTATATTTTTTCAACAACGTTTGGATTAATTTCTCATTCAAAGCTCTAAAATTATCAAAATTTTCCAACAAAGTTTTCGTTCTCACCGACCTCAAGCTTTACTTCGTTCTGATTTACCCTTTTCTTAACTCTGTAATACAGGTAAAAGCAATGGAGTTGATTGATCAACTAGAAGTTGCGAGGCGAGGACCATATAGTGGTGTATTTGGAGGCATTTCATTCTCCGGTGACCTGGACATCGCCCTTGCACTGAGAACCATTGTTTTTTCAACTGCGACTGGTTATGACACCATGTATTCGTACAAAGACGTGAACAAGCGTAGAGAATGGATTGCTCACGTCCAGGCTGGGGCCGGAGTTGTGGCAGACAATGTCCCTGCTGATGAACCGAGAGAGTGTGAGAATAAAGCTGCGGCTCTTGCCCGTGCTATCGATCTTGCCGAGTCTTCATTTGTGGATAAATAATTTACTATATCTTCTCAACAGTGAAGCGTTCGGGCAGCCAACCCTCAATCTCTGGTTTTCTGTACACAGGGAGGGAGAGTTTGGAAGTTTGGATTTCTATTTCTTCCCTTCACAATGTGAAATTCACTAAGGGGTGTTTGGTTCAAGGATTGTGAGATTCTCATCCCATGAGAATCTCACATTCCCATGTTTGGTTGGTCGGGAATCTCATTCCCGGTAATGTTTTATTATCAATAGTAGATTTTTTGTAGTATATTACCGGGAATGTCATTACCTCCCTTCCCTTAGGTATTGTAACATTACCGGCATTTTGGACTAAAATGCCCTTAAATTTTTATTTTTTTAAAAAAAATATCATTATTCTGTCATTGAATAATAAAAATTCTACGAAGGTTAAATTACAAATTTATCCTTAAATTATTTTAGATTTACAAAAAAAAAATCATAATTAAAATTTTATATAAAGTTCAGGGGTTAAATTTTTTTTACCCTTTCATTAAACCTTTTTTATATTTTTAATTTTGTAAAAAAAATTATATAAATATTAAGAATTTAATTTTTTAAAGAAAATATATAAATATTTTACAATTTGTAATATTATACAAATATATAATAAGGACAATTTGGTTAAATATACATTCCAATAATCTTTTATTCCTTTAACCAAACACGGTAATCTTACATTCCTGCTAAACCAACCAAACACAAAATACAATATTCTCAGTAATCCTATTCTCTGGTAATCTTTTATTCTCACTGGTAATCTTACATTCCGTGAACCAAACGCACCTTAATAGATATAAGAAGAACTTTTTTCTTTATTCGTTTTAACCCTAAACTTCGATAAGGTGTCTATTAAGGGCCTTTTTTTTTCCCATTAATGATTGCATTCATGATTACTATTTGAAAATTTATTTTACGAGAAGTAAGTCTCGAATTCGAGTCTTTGTGTATGCAGATAATATCCGTTAGAGGACTTTCCTACCAAAACTAGATGTACGACCCGGGTTAATCCTGATCAATCAAGGTAAAGTCTTGAAAATCGGAAGGGCTCTTCTTCTCCTAATATAAAAAATGACGGTATAAATTTTTAAAATTTATTATCAAATCAATTTCAAGTTTCAATATTTTAAAATTTCTTTTTCAATATTTTGATATTTTTAGTTATTAAAATAGTTTTTAATTACCAACAACTAGCTTATTTAGTGGAATGAGACACTAGATCCCTTAAGTAAGGCTAGGAGTTTGAATACTGACGTTTGTGAATAAATCAAACAGGGTGGGAGGGTCACCCTCGCTTCTGTAATACCCGATCAGGATTAGTCAATCAATAAATCAAATATCAATGATTAATTAAAAAATAGTTTTAAATTGAAAAACGAAATACTTTTAAAAGTATACTTTGTTTTTTTATTATAATTTTAAAAAATGAAATAAGAATTTAAAATATAATTTAAAGTGGAGAACCATATTAAAATATTCTGTACGCATCAAGGATCATTATGATGTTTTCCCATTTATAATTTTAGAAGTTTGCGGAGAGTTCCCACCTATTGGCCCCGTTACAGGTGAAAACTAAAGTTTTTAGCGTAAAATATACAATTGACTAATTAACTATTTAACCCTTTTATTTTCACCATCAATTTTTTAATTTTGTCAATCAGATCACTTAACTATTTAATTATCGTCAATCAAATCACTTGCAGTTAAAAACTGACAGGAATACTGACGTTACAATTAATGAAATTGACATAATTCTACATTTAGTTCTCAATAGTTATACATTCTACTAATTTGATCTTAGTTTTAATTTAATTTAATAAATTTAATCTTTTAATCAGATTGTGACACGTGTCACAACATTTAGCCCTTTTACTTTTACAACTGATCTTTTAATTTTGTTAATCAAACCACTTAACTATTTAATTATTGTCAATTAAGTCACTTACCAATAACAACTGACGAAAATACTGACATGGCAGTTAATGAAATTAGTATAATTCTACATTTAATCCTCAATACTTATACATTCTACTAATTTGATCTTAATTTTAATTTAATTTAATAAATTTAATCATTTAATCAGATTGTAACACGTGACACAACATGAATGAAATATATTTTTTTAAAATTTAATTATTTTATTTTCTACCCATTCAAATAGTACCATGTGTCACCATCATATTGGATGAAAAATTAGCAATAAAAGAAAAGACCACGCAAATGGGAAGGGGTGGGACTCGAACCTGCATTTTATGATATGCATAATTTAAATAACATATTAAAGCAAAATGACAAAAAAAAAGAGTTAAAACAAAGTAAAAATTTTAATATATTTTTTAATAATCTCATGTATATATTTTTAACTCAATTTATTTTTATAAACAATTATATGAAATTATTTGATAAAGTTAACAACACTTTTTATATATAATCATTAAATTAAAACTTTTATCTTAACTAATAATTTCATATATATAAATTTATACATATAATCTTTAAATTAAATTTTTTAACAGTAATTTTTACATATAATCATCAATTTAAATTGTTTAACTTAAGTAATAATTTTAAAATTTTTTATTAATAATTCCATATATATTTTTAACATTTAAAATTTAAATTTGTTTGATAAATTTAACAAAAATATATATATATATATATATATAATCATTAAATTAATTCCATACATTTTAATAAAAAATATCAAGTAAAAATTAAAATTATTAGTTAAGTTAAAATTTTTAATTTAATGATTATATATAAAAAGTGTTGTTAACTTTATCAAATAATTTCATATAATTGTTTATAAAAATAAATTGAGTTAAAAATATATACATGAGATTATTAAAAAAATATTAAAACTAACACTTCTTTTTTAACTTTCTTTTTTTCTTCTGCCATTTTGTTACAATATGTTATTTGAATTATGCATTTATGACCAAGTCATTTGTCTAGCCTAGTGGTTTGGCGCTGATTACAACCCCCTAAAACGCAGGTTTGAATCCTTCCCTCCCCATATGCGTGATTTTCTTCTATGGCTAATTTTACATCCAATCTGATGGTGACATGTGGCACCATTTGATTGGGTAGAACATAAAATAATTAAATTTAAAAGAACATCTTTCATTCATGTTGTAACACATGTCACAATCTTATTAAAGGATTAATTTTATTAAATTAAATTAAAATTATTATCAAATTAGTACAATGTATAAGTATTGAGGACTAAATGTAGAATTATGTCAATTTCGTTAACTGCCATGTCAGTATTTCCGTCAGCTGTTAACGGTAAGTGACTTGATTGTCAACAATTTTAAATAATTAAGTGATCTGATTGATAAAATTAAAAGATCAATGATAAAAGTAAGAGGACTAATTAGTTGAGTGGTTAATGGTATAGTTTACCCAAGTTTTAGGAAAAACTATGTATTCAAATAGGGGTGTTCAT